CGTCTCCTATGATTATGTTCTACTTGTATTGACTAATATATTAATTTGAATTTGGAAGCTATTTAATAAATTAACAAAAATTCAAAAATTGATAAATATGTAAAAAAGTGACAATAACTCAAAACGGTGACAAATAATAATGAACATCAACTATAATTAAGACATTTAGACACCAATGTCGAAGTAAAGAAATGAATTTTGATCAGAAATTGCACATGTTCAAGTTCTATAAAATAAAGAAACCCCACTTCAATATGACAAAGAAAACTTCCAAACAAGAACCAGATCACCATTTCCAAATCCCATCAACCCAGATGAGCAAATGGAAATAAATGACTGAAAAACGTTAATAAGCAATGACCAGCCAAAGCAGATTTGGCAAAATACAAATTCTTGGTACCCTGTTAAAAACAACAAACAAAACAAAGCAAACGTTCAAAACGTGTGAATTAAAAAATACAAAAAAATATACATAAAAAAATAAATGACAGGGCTCTTTGATCAGTTGGGGGTTTGGTGAACGAATTAATTACGGTTTTGAAAGGTTTTACATTGTTTCAGTGTATTAATCTAATTGATTGCATCTTTAGAGTAGTGGGGTTAATTTCCTCAACAAAAAATTTCCTAAGAAAAAATGGATTTGGGCCTGGGTGGTCTGGGTTATAGCCGAGGACTAAATCCGCCTGAGAGACCGGAATAATTTATTAAACGAATCTTCTTAGGTAGCAGATTCAACTAAAGATGGCATTTAATTTATATTATACATGTAGTATCGAAAGACAACTGAAACCTACGAATAGGAAAAGGAAAAAAGAAAAAGACCCGAGACTTTTCAATATCTAGTAATTCACTTTCTATATATGCTAAGAATAATATATGTTGTATGAAGTATCTAATAAAGAATAAATTCCTATCGGTTAAATATCTAAATATTAATCAACAACAAAATATTTGTGCTACTCCTCTTAATAAGATTTATATTTTTAAGATGAAAGCCTAAATTTTAATATGATATCGGATCATTAAACTCAAACAAGCACTCATTCCAAAGACTTAAACAAATATACAAATTTCAAGGTTGGTGTTCTTAAACAAGTCACATCTTATGGGGACATATTAAGTGATAAATCTCACCTAGATTAAATGTCGAAACATTAACTAACACACACACACACACACACACACACAAAAAAAAGGGTTTAGACTTCTTCTCTTAACAAGATTGACATTTTAATATTGAACCCCAAATATTAATATTAGGACATCACTCTATTATCTTCTAAACTTGAGTGATAGAATTCATAGCCATAACACATCAAAACTTTTTGAAGGAATGCGATGGAGAAGAAGTTAGAAATAGGTTTTCAAGGTTGATAGTTACATGATGTGAGGCTCGGCAATTAAGGAATCTTTACTTTTCTGCAAAGTTTATTTTCTGACTTGTTGGAATCTTATTTTAATATCGTCTGTTTGAGCTTTTTTAGAGGACTTTTAGGTTGGTTTGGAAAAAAGTTAGAGATAGTATAAGAGGGGTTAGAGTTGCTCGTGTTTGTGGTGACACTGTTGGAAAAGTAATCGTACATAATCAGATAATTAACCTTTAAAGTGCATGAAATCGAACACAATTTTGACTTATTGAAACCAAATATGTAAAGTAGAAACGAGAATTAATGTTTGAACATGAATTCGATCAAGACAAGAGTTTAACTCTCTCTTAAAAACGATAATGTCCTGTGTGCAGGTGCTTATTGCATTTGTCATTCGTCTCCCAATATACAATAATCACTTCCTATATTAGGAACACTCCAAATTATATGGACCAGTGTTGCGTATTTTTATATCGCATGTGTACGATATCG